CAGATTCAGTTAGATAGGTAAGTAGGCAATTCTTCAGTTCTATTGGTTCAGTAAGTAGTTTAGTTTAGTTGTTTTTCGTAATTTTCTCTCACCGCTCGTAGAGAGACACCCATCTGTAAGTATTCGCCGAAGATCTTGTTGGTGGCACCATTGAACTGGGGCGAGGCTACTAGCCATGGGCATTAACTCGTACGGCGGTGGGTATGATCTCTTCTCAACGCGCACACTCAACTAGGGGAAGTCCTCTCTGTTGGTAACTTGGTTGCTTATGTTGTCTATGAAAGATAGTCCCCCAGAACTATATAAGAAGAACCATAGTCTAGGGTCGGCGCCCCAGCCAATCATAACTCTGTCCACCACTTCCAACTTCTCCCATTACAATAAGTTTAGATTCTACGCCATTAAAGGGCTTAGATGGGTTACTAATCTTTCCCTTACTAACTATTAATGGCACGTCTCTCGATGAGCTTACCACACTTATCCCATACGCCGGTGATAATGTACTGGCCGTAGTCCTTAGGGTGCTTAGTGTTGGCCTTGATGTACTCGAGGTTATCGACATCGTATTATCGTTGAGTGATAGTCGTGTAGTACGTTGCGTAAGTTCGTCTATAGGTGAGGCGGGTCGGTTCGATCTGCTCATAGGGGTTGTCTTCCACAACGGGGGTGATAGCCAAAGTGTTAAGGATCCCTACTAATCCTAACTAAGTTAGGGTTCTCAGCAACAATCCTAATATAGCATGAGCTAGTTAGGGAAGACATAAGGTATGAGCAGGGTTCTCTATTACTAAGAACTATATAGTCCAGTAGATAACATGAGTTGGCTACGAAGAGAGTGTAACTACCTAGGGTGATGAAGATATATATATAATGCTTACGCTCTGTTGCGCTCTATGCGCTCTATGCGCTCTATGCCAACAGGGCCAGCAGAGCCAACAGGGCCAACAGGGCATATCACGTGACCCAGCCTTATTCCTCCGTGAATCCCTCTAAGTGTCCAATGAACGTGGTGAGTCGTGCTCGTGCGGCTCGTAGTCGGGCTTCCTCAAGGCTGTGTCTAACAGGCCCCTTCCTACGCTCTTAGGCTAGTGACCCTAATCCGACCATTTTCTTTTCTTTACTTTGTCTCGCTATATCATTCTTTCATCATCATTAGGCCTTTCCCTTAGTGTAGGCCTTATACGTCTTAGTCTATACTGTAGGAATAACGTTGTATTAGCTAAGGTCGCATAATATTTACTAGACTTACCTAAGATCTGAGTATTTATACCTTACATCTATTATAAGTTATAGTGTAATGGGAGAAGTTTAAAGTGGTGAATAGCGTTATGATTAGCTGGGGCGCCGACCCTAGACTATGGTTCTTCTTATATAGTCCTGGGGGGACTATCTTTCATAGAATGGATAATCAACCAAGTTACCAACAGAGAGGACTTCCCCTAGTCGAGTGTGCGCGTTGGGATGAGGCTATACCCACCGCCGTACGAGTTAATGCCCATGGCTAGTAGCCTCGCCCCAGTTCAATAGTTATAAAATCTAAAATCCTTTTTCGACCCTATTTAAGATCTCATTATCCTTTAGCAGTTACGCCGCAGAGACCAGGTTACTTCTGTAAATAATCGGAGCGCACTCTAAAATAGCGTCTAGAATGATGTTTCAACGGTATCTAGCTAGGCAACGGCGCTGTAAGCCTCACACACGGATACCCCAGTTTCAGACGTAAATCGGGAAACTATTGCTAGTGACGCCGACGTTCAGGCTCTTACGGGCCGCCACGATGGTCGAGCCTTTAATAGCGACTAAGCTAGAGGGTAGGTGTTAACCCATTCTACCGAGATGATGTTCTTAGAGCCCGCGGAGGTTAACGTTCCCGACACAGAGGGCGGCACAACGACGAACGGAGTATAAGGCAACGTCTTAGCAGCCACAGCTTTCGCGGGGGATGGACTGAGCCTTGCTATGGATGTGGACATAAATGGTAGATCATAAACAACGGAGCAGTCTCTTATCATCTCCAATCATGTTATTGAAACTCTTTCCACGACTACGGACTATGGGATAGCTAAGACTTAGAACATTGACTAGTTCCATGATACTATTAGGGACCTACGCAACGCAGTAGGTATAAAGAATTAAAGTAGCTGAATGCCTTATTCTATCCACGTAGTTCTATTGACAACGACTCAACGCTTAAGAAAAAGGAAGAGTTCTCTCTCAGCCGATTCGGGTGAGAGGAAACTCTTATAGCTTCCCTTCTTTCTATCACGTGAAAAGGGTAAGGCGGCGTTAACCAATAGCCTTATACTTTAGCTCTCCTTAACTTATGCTTCAACCATCCTTTGCCTTATCCTTTTCTTTCTATAACGTCCACCCAATTCGGGTGGAGGGCGTAGAGTACTTGGGGACAACGGTGGGCTCGTGATAGATACGACCTTCCTTGATCACGATACCGCCCCATCGCGACGGCAATGACTTCCACATTGGTAAACCTATCCCACTACAGAGTCATTGGAAAATCATTATCCCGGCTCCTCCATCTTTCTATCTAAGGCCTCAGCTCTATCTATACTGGTCTTAAGGCCGAGTTTACACAATCGTTTCTACGCTGCTAGCTCTTTATCTTAGGATTATATCTGACCCGAACAGAACTATGATCAAACGATAAACTCTTACCGTTAGAGATAGCTACCAGCTCCCTCATGGCTTAGCTTACTAGCTCTACTTTCTCCGGCGATGCCTATAGATGCTCTTCTATAGGATTCTATCCTAGAGTACACAGTACCCCGAAATGGCCAGCCCCTTCAGAAGCTTCGTAAGCCAATGATTCTTAATTTTTTTAATCGATGACCTTAGTAACTGCTTCTCATAAGTTGTAAATAATATTTATCGCCAATTAGAGGCTACGTGGAGTTGTCTGAACAACTTACTTGTTATAGGATTATTTCTCTGCTTATGCGAGTAAGTCGTATAGGTCCACATCTCCGTTCAATTGAACATAGAATCTAACTCTTCTAAACAGTGCCATATCAATCAAGATGAAAACTCATTCAGTGATTTGCCTATCTGGCTCAGACCGACTGTTCTGCTGTAATAGAGCACTTCAGGGTTCGGCGTGCACGTGCAACAACGCACAGAGGCCTGTCCAGCAGATCGGGAATCGAGAACGCGTTTCTGGTTGATACTGACAAGACAACACCACCACCAACACCACCCAGAGAGGCAGCGGCTAGGGCTACGAACACCTGGCACAGCGGGAGCATCGAGGAATAGGACAGGATTGACAAAACACTCAGGAATTAGGTAGACGGCGCCAAAAAACCCTCGAATTCATGATACTCTCTTCGAAACTGTCAAGAATGGCCCTCTGCCAGCACTGTAAACTGTCCTGCTCCCAGCGATCTAATTAGGTTTGACATGTGACCTGACAGACCTCTGCCCTGCCAGTCCACCACCAGCCCAGCACAGCCACGTCGCCTTGTTACACTGCAAACCCGGATTACTCACCCACTCAGCGTTTGTTTCATACCACACCAAACATACATAGTAAATCAGTCTATTTCAGACAATTCTGGTACGAGTCTGGATCTCATGGGTGAGGTCCTTGGAGACTTGAGAAACTGGAGACTGCACGATCATTTTTTTCTGCAGTTTCCCGAATTTCGAAATGTCTATGAGCAGTCACTAGGAACATTGTCAGGAAATGCTGAAAGAGTCGGTGACGTAAAATAACAATCTTGAGTTGCTAAAGCTAAGAACACCCCGCGTATGCTGCGGTCGGTTACTCAGTATCGGACTGTCGCTGTGATTTCAGTTCATAATTACAGAAATGGCTGTTACTGTTCCGTCGCGGCTGGACTCGATGCCCTTGATGCACATAGTATTCCATCTCGCGCATATTGAATCGAGCATCTAGGCACCGCCAAGCGAAAACATTTTGAGACCATCTTTTTAACTCCAAAATTTATGTCCTTTTACAGTCGGCTGCCTCGGAAGATCACCAGGAGGATTGTCGACCGCTTAGACTTGCCCTAGTGTAGCAAAAACGTTGCCATGAAGGTCAATGTTTGCACAGTTCCTGGCCCGGTATATCCCGATCGACCCAGGCTACAAACACGCTACAGACGAGACGCGGCAGCAGAATTCTTTCTTTGTGCTCGTTCATGGTCTCTCAGCACCCGTCGAAGAATCTTGCCGGAAGCGCTTTTAGGAATTTGACTAACGAATTCCTCGCCGCCTGACAACCACTTGCTTCAGCTTTTCTTTTAACGCCAAAGTCTTGCAACTCCTGTGCTGTTTGTGGACCAGGCCGTACTTTGTCGTTCACAACAACAAATGCCTTGGGAAGCTCTCCCGATTACGCATCGGGAACTCCGATGTCAGCAATATCGACAACCAGAGGATGACCGAGGAGGAGGTCTTCGAGCTCCGCCGGGAGAACTAGAATGCGTTTAACCTGTGACGCGTGAGTTATCTGGCTTACCGCATAGTTCGGATGGTTGGGAAGTATTTACCTTTATCATTTCTTTCACCCTGTCCTGGACAAGCAATGGACCATCCGGGAGCAAGATTCCGATATCGCCGGTGTGAAGAAATCCTTCTTGGTCATATGTTTCGGCAATGGCCTAAGGGTTGCCGAGATATCCCATGGTTCCCTGGGGTCCTTTTGCCCAGATCTAAATGGATGATCAGCATCGGTAGCGGAAGTCCCATTGAGATTGTCATGGATGACTTGGCAGCGAGCTATCTAAGAAGTATATTGCCTATCTATAGACGCAGTGCGACAGCGACTTCGAAGGTGAAGAGCTTCAAAGGGATGATCTGCGACCCCGTGCTATATACATGTAGTCTTCTAGTGCCTTGGAGTCTTGGAATCCGTAACAGAGATGGCATTTACTTACGTCCCCACTAGTACCTTCGACCTCCTTTCTAGTCTCCGGGTCTACTATCTTCAGGACTATCTCTGGTACGACGCCACCCACGGTGTGAGCATTCTCGTACGTCTACAGTGCTGGCGGCGTGAGCGTAAGAGCACTAGTGTTCTCAGTCATACCCCTGGCTTGTCGTATGGCCACGTGCGGAAACCGCTTCGCAAGTTTGTCGATGATCTCTTGGGCTAGTGGAGCTGCCCCAGTGTTAAACTGCTTGACCAACTCAAGGTCATATCCAGCTGCGATAGGATCATTGACCAACCTAATGAGAAGCGCTCTTCAATGAGTGAGCGAGTGTTCGACGACCTTGTCCGCTAGTTTCTCAACTTACGGGGTACCAACCATAGTTCATCGCATCAGTGGGTGGATCAGCTCAATATCGCTAGCTGACACCACTTACAACCTTTGGTCGACTTGTCGTGCCAGAAGCGAAACTCAATAAGCGCAAATATCACCATTCTTCCCTCCAGGGGGGAATTTGAAAGCCCGTACAGATGAACTAGGATCTGCAGAGGACGGCGTCTTGTCCAGGAGCGATTTGACAGATGCAGAGCCACCCGGCTGGTCAAGCAGGGGGCTCAAGGAGAATTATATTTTTCAAGTCCAAGTTTACCCCAGTTGCTGCAGCACACATGGTCCCGAGAGTAGACTGATCAGCAAACACTAGTTTTGCCTTCGAAGACTTCAAGACGTATGAAGCCTCCTCCGACCTATATTCCAGCGACGACCCTGTCACAACAGCGCCTCTTCTGACAGCAGCGAACAAGGCAACGGGATACCAGATTGAATTAGACACAAAAAATACTGACGCCGTCGCCGGCACGGAGACCATATTGGTGATAGAGCGACGTGGAGAGTCGGGTCGCAAACGCTCGCACATGATGGACGGAAAGGAATTCGTCTGTCGATGTGTCACGAAAACCTCCCGATCTTTTTGTGTCTTCTTCTCGTTTTCTGGCTGCAGGATGTCGGTTCTTCGACTCGAATGGCCATGACCATATAGCCACGTCTTCGGGTATAGCCAGAGCAGCACAACGTAGATGGGTTGTTAGCGAGTTTGTTACCATTGGTAGGAAGAAGGACGTTCACAATCGAGCATATTTTTTTTCTTTGTACTTACCTGCTTTCAACCTCGATTTTGCGTATGGCATCGTGAGCTCAATGACAAGAAGAGCTGATATATGTCAAAAATCGTAAGACAAGGTTAACTATTCGGGGGATTTTGACTACCTTGCTGGAGAAGAATCAAAATGACAAACGAAAAAGCGTACTTTCTGTGTGCTCGCAGCCCTCAAGCTAATATCTGTTTTCATCGGCTGGATAAAGGAAGGACATGACCGCTCTACCACTGTAGAATGCACCGAGGATAATGGCGACTGTAGGACATGTGCGCTTGCACACGATACTGCTTTGTCGGTCTGTGAGCTCCCTAAGCAGGACACGACCATCGTCAGCGGACGCGCGACCGGATCCATCTTCGGAGAGGATATGCAGTACGGGGAAAAGAGGATGCGAAAGAAAGACGCGATAGTGGATATTCGCGCCCGTGAATCCTGAATGGATTAACCGACATAGCTAGCTAGGTTTTTGCATTATTGTCAAATTCCTGCTGGGCTGCCCCACTCCCAGATCTCCCTGTACAGATATAACTGGTTGGATATTGACTGACTCGCTCTACTGACATCAGCGAGGCAGAGAGACTGTCCATGAGGATCCAGGCCCGCACACCCCCTTCTCTGGTAAGAGGAAGAGTTTGCGAAGGTCCTCTGTTTCGATTGATCGGCTTCAGGAGTCGGAATGCCGAATATCGAGTACCCTAGCCTCCATATGTTACTAGGCGCTGGGAATGGAATGGGAATGTCCGGCCGCACCCAGATTAAAGGGCAGCATTTGTATAGACTCAGCATGGAACAGCGTGAGCAGACCGTAAGACAAAGACGAAGACGAAGAAGATTCTCAATCCTGTCCTTCGCATTAACTAGCTTACTTTGTTCATCTATGTATGTAAGAGGTTCTTAGAAAACTGAAGTCTAGATAGTACATGTATGCATGCAGAGCTCTTCTGTGCCATTAAAGGGGTGATAGACGTGAACTGAACATTTTTATTTATGTATGTATGCTGCTCTGTATCAAGTAGGCACACCAAGAGAGCACCCTCCACCGATAGAGGAGACCGACATAAAAATATTTAATCTACCTTGCTCTAGTCTAGAGGAGTTCTGCAAGACATATTACTTCTAGCGGTCCATTTTGACTGTCGATGAGCCCTGAAATCAAAACCGTCGAGCTTCATTTAAACAAGGTCTGAAAATAGAATCAATGACTTAGTTTTGAACGGTTAAAGGAAATCATTTTTGGTAACTCACAGAAAGTAAGATCTTTTCCTTGAGATTCCCTCTAAGATCTCCCATCACCAAAGAATTTGAAAGGGTTTCCCTGACGCGTTGTAAAGTCAGCCATTTCGGTTTTTAACTTCTTTAATTGAGAGGTCGCCGGGATCCAGACCACGTAGTCTGGACTGCACACACCTTCTGGTACTCGATCTCAAAGTCCTCCCATCGGGGTTGCTCAATGAATTTCATATAGTGGATGCTGGACCCAGGCCAAACTGCCGTGATCTTGTTTGTGGCTTTGTCTTTGTCTGTTGCATTCACATGTCAGTCCTATGTAATAACACTAAGTATGTTGATGACTTACACTAACTAGTGCAAACCCCCGTCCAAACAAGGTCTTGGTGGACATTCTGAATGTATTGATTGAAAGCCCTCTGCATGTCGGCTTTGACGTTCAGTGATCGAATCTGACACTTCTTCATCTTCTCGAGAACTTGACAGACATATTTGGAGCTGGATCACAAGGTATCAAAATGTTGTGTTATAAAGCCGATAGTGGAATAGAATGCAGAGCAAAAAGCAAATTCAGATAAAATGTGTCGTTGAAGCCCACCTTGGTTCAATACACGGTATCAATGATCCATTAGCGATGGGACAGTTCGGTCCGAGAAATGCTAGGCAAAGAGCAAAGGGTCCGTCAGCCCCGTATACCGCCCATTCAGGGTGTTTTGGCCTTAATAGTCAGTCTTTTTCAAGGGTCTGCTTACTGAAGTAATTGGGATAACCCGAGATCGCCAGTCCTAGGTAGGCCTCTGGAACTTGATCTTTCCACAAGTCTCAAAGACTTGTCTTGTTCTGTCCAATGATGTCGTAGCGAGCCGAAAATGACGTGTCGAATCCCGTCGCGCGGATCAGCACGTCAAATTCATGCATCTGTCCATCTGTCGTTTTGATTCCTTTTTCGCAGATTCATTCTATCGGTCTCCGGACGATATCCACGTTGGCTTGTTGGCCTGCATTAAGGTAGGGTAGACCTAGAGTGAGTCTTTGACAACCTAACTCCCAGCTTGAAACCAAAAAAAGTACTGAATTCAAAACGACTTCCTTTCAAGATCGAAGTATATTACCTGGGGATAAGCTTATCCTGAAGGCCTTTTGAGGCAATCGATTTCCTCATCATATCTTCTGCCCACTGTGAATAGAGTCAGATTCCGGTAAAACTCGGCCAACATCAAAAGAGACTTCTACGCGGATAGTGCGATCAAGAATTCACATACCTTCCGACCTTCTTCCTGCTGCTTAGTCCCTTTAATATTTGCAACAAAAACTTTCATTCATGTGTTGTTCGATTCTCTTTCGAAATAATTTATAGTAATCAGGGTCTTCTTAGAATGCCTTCTTCTGCTCGTCGGTATCTATTTTCAGTTAATAATTGAACTTCTATGATGCTGAACGTTGCCGCCAAGGAGGCCGTGTAGACTGCCGCCGTCTGTTAAGGATCCCTACTGATCCTAACTGGGTTAGGGTTCTCAGCAACAATCCTAGTGTAATGGGAGAAGTTGGAAGTGGTGGATAGCGTTATGATTGGCTGGGGCGCCGACCCTAGACTATGGTTCTTCTTACATAGTTCTGGGGGACTATCTTTCATACAATACACAAGCAACCAAGTTACCAACAGAGAGGACTTCCCTTAGTTGAGTGTGCGCGTTGAGAAGAGACCATACCCACCGCCGTACGAGTTGATGCCCATGGCTAGTAGCCTCGCCCCAGTTCACTAGTATAGCATGAGCTGGTCGTGGATCACGCGCGGTATGAGCGGACCTATGTTACTAAGAACTGTATAGTCCAGTAGATAACATGAGTTGGCTACGGAGAGAGTGTAACTACTTGGGGGGGTGAGGGTGTATATATAATGTTGCCGCTCTGTGCGCTCTGTGCGCTCTGTGCACTCTGTTGACAGAGCCGACAGAGCCAGCAGAGCCAGCAGAGCGCACCACGTGACTTGTCCTTGATCTCTTGCGAGGGCTTCCTTTCCTGTGTCCAATGAGTGTGTTCTGTCCTGCTCCTCATGGCTCGTGACTGGCCTTCCTTAAGGCTGTGTCTAACACCGTCCTACATCGTTCATTGAACTCGGAAGATTCCACACCAAACCCCACAGTTGGTAGGACATATGTTGGCGACCGGATGAAGACCTCAAGCTTCTCAACCAACGGCTGGATGCTGGGACAACTTGGACGCTGGTGGCGCCAGAACCGATGATACCGACCTTCTTGCCTTTAAGAGGTATAGCAAGATCCTATATAATAAGTCAGAAATCTATATCTCCAATGACGGTCAATGCAAGATCGCACACAACATACCCATGCGGCCGTACATATGCGTAAGCCCCCGAAGGTTGTGAGCCCTTCGATGTCTGGCCATTCCCAATTGTTCGAGATGCCGCCAGCATTGATGAAGAGGTCTCCAGAGGATTCAAACTCCTCTCCTGACATCGTGTTGACCACTCCGATAGTCCACTTGGCATTCTGCGCGTCCCACCTTGTATTGTTGACTCTACTATTGAATTGTACGTCAGGATACACGGCATAACCGCGTGCCACATTCTTGAAGTATTCTCCGATCTCTTCAGCTGGAGCAAAGCTTTAAATTTTTCGTTAGTATATCTCAACCCGAACTTGAATGAACTAAGCCCACTGATGACTCCAGTCGGTATTCTGTTCGAATGTGTATTGATAGGATGGCTGGCGACGTCGCAAGCCACTCCCGGGTATCGGTTCTCGAGCCATGTACCACCAACGTCCGAGTTCTTTTCAAAGATCTGGAATGTTACGTTCTTGATGTTCATGAGATCTATGGCCAGTGCAATCCCAGAAGGCCCTGCTCCCGCAACTATGATGTGTAATGGTCTTTCTCGAGCATCGTGTAAGGGATAATGTCCATAGAATAGCCGTGTCTTCGCAAGGTCTGGGGTCATTACTTCCTTATCCTTCCCCTCCTGCTGCTTCTCTTTGCTCTCTCTCTCTCTCTGCTACAGGAGGTGTTGTCTCTGTAATGTTGACGGTCGTCTGAAGCAGGCACTTAATTGCAGACTCCTGTAGATGTATATTACGGTCGTCACCGCCTTGCGAGGGAGTCAATGACTTTCGCTCTAGCGGATTGTCATTCTCGTTTATGGATTCCTGGTGCTGGACGATGGGTGCCTTTGAATCAACACGATGGTCAAGATCACTGTTTCTGAGCCACAGATCCCCCAGTATAGCCATTGACCTGGTTGCATTGGAGGGTTTTCAGCAAAAAATAATGAGATTCATGTAAAAGCATCAATGACCGTTCAATGACGGCGATCCTGCCATATTTTGTTTCCGCGAAACGCCGATACAAAAGAACAAATTTGACCCATTCTATCATTCGTTACCCACTGTCAGCAGTCCTATGTTTGCTGGATTTGATCGAACGTGCTCAGAATTACGGACCACCTTGGAGACGGGTAGTGGAGGAACTTCGTCATACAGTCGAGTCAGCGCCAAGTGGTGGCCTGACGTGGGTGTGAGAAGAGAGTTCCCCAGACCCTGATAACACCAAACCACTCCACGCTGTGCTCAGTTGCAATCTATCATGGGCTTCAATGGGCTGAGACAATCTGAACCTGCTTGTAGTGAAATCAATACCACAGTCCACATGTCTTTGTATCTGAGCAGTCTGGGTCACGAAAATCTAAATTCATTCCTACCCTTACCTCACTCTTTCGGAGTGTGTGTTTAATACCAGAACGTCTTGATCATGGAGAGCCAGAAGTCTACCAAGGACGCAGAAAGAGTTCCAAGGACGCGGTCGAAGCTGGCATGTTCGAGGTGCAGAGGACGCAAAGTCAGATGTGATCTCGTCAAACGAGGAGGAAACCAGTGTACAAACTGCTACCTGGATCACGAGATATGCACTGTGGTTCCTGGGGTCAGAATGGAGAAGAGGGTGCAACATGGAAAACTATCGGAACCGGTATGTTAGCATCGCTCTCTATCTCGCGCGTAGGCAGACAGATACCACACGCAGGTCTCCAGAACCTGAACTTCGAGCTGAAAACAGTGTATATATACAGGAGAACAGGCGCAGCCGTAAGCCGCCGGTCAAACTACCTATCAATAGCCGTGAAGGCCTTGAGGACGAGTGGGTTCAGTTTCTACCAAACGAGGCTCTCTTCAATGAAATCCTGGCTCGATTTGTCGACTACGTCCACCCGCAGTTGCCATTCATGGACATGAAACAAATATGCGGTAACTTGAGAATGAAGGCTTTGGCCGGCGGGTTCAGTTTGTTTGTCCTTCACGCCATGATCGCAGCAGCATGGCCACACCTTGAAGCAGAATTTGTTGTTGCTGCTGGCTTTGCCTCCGCGAAAGAGGCGTCGAATAATCATGTCCAAAGAGCCACTGTAAGAGAATCCTTCCCACTCTACCTTGGTGTCGTCCTACTGCCTCCATGGAGCCCTGCTCTAGTCAGATATTTTGGTTTAACAAATTCAAAGCACCTCATGGACTTAAACTACGAAACCGACGCAAAGAACTTGATCCAGGGATTGCTTTTCCTGAGCACATGCGCCAAAACCGACCCTAGTGGACGCCCTAATAATGGATCTGTTTGGTTCCTGAAGGAAGCAATTTCCAAGGCTAAAGCTGCCAAAATGCACCGAGAGGGAGGATCACATTCTGGAGAGCTGTCTTTGAACGAGAAGAGACTCAGAAGGCGTCTCTGGTGGTGCTGCTACGTACAAGATCGGCTATCGAACTTGCTCACGGGTCGCAGGCCTTGTATCAGGGACAAGGAAGTGGAGATCGCGCCTTTGTCGCTCGAGGACTTTGACTTCCATCACATAGCGAGCAGCAATGCCCAAAGTTATCCTGCATTGCCCCGAGATACCCTTAGCCAGATCTTCCTCGTCTACCTTTTCAAGTTGAAAGTCGAGCTATTGTCATACGTCTCTCGGAGCTCATCCGAGATCATAATCTCCAAGGAGAGGATTTGCGAACATATGGACAAGTGGTATCAAAACTTGATCGAGTCGGTCTCATCTCAAGCAGTCAGCACATTTGCTTTCAAATGTCTCATGACACACTGGGAATCGCTTGTACTCCTCCACCAAACGATACGATTTCTTTCAACGAGGGCACGCTGGGCTGAAGAGTTAGCCAGAACGCGTCAAACAGGCAGAGCACCGCCGCAGGGCAGATGCAGCACGTCGCCCTCCTTCGCAGAGCGGGAATTGCAGCACTCGCTCAGGAGTCACACAAGGCTACTCCTGCAGCTACAAAATCGTGGCCAGTTGTTGCAGATCGCGCAGAGTGGCCTCTGGGCGCTCCTACCAGCCATGGTGACCATCATCCAGGTTCTGGCAAGCAAGGAGAATAACGACGATGACATCGACATACGCGCCTATCGTGAAATATATCTCCAATACCTTTCCATCCTCGAATCCCATCGTCGGCGCCTGGAAGCTGTGGAAAGCGTCATGCCATTCGTGGAGAGGATGCTTCAAAAAATACCACAACAATGCCGCAGCGACGCCACTACCCCCGTCTCGCATTCTTACTGTGATTCCACAGGCCCAGTAGCCACAACCACTATTGATCTAGATCAGCTATCGGGCCCACCGTGGAAGAACTCTATGGTGGAGATCGACGATACCTTCTGCGACTCACTCTCTTCCCCGGCTGTTTCCGATGGGCAATTTGGCGCCGCCATCGCGGTGGAAAAGCAATCACCGCCGGATTTCCCTCTTACGGAGGATGCAGGAGATGTTCGCACTAACGCAGTCACCAGTTGGTTCTTGAGGTCTGATTCTATAAACACAGAAGTCCTCGGATGTGAAAACTATAACTGGCCGGTTACCAGGGAGGACGCTGCTTGCAGTTGAGATGTTACAAGCCACGCTCCCTGGGTTCAAGACCTGAGACAAACTAGGAGCAAAGCGGTTTCCGAACCATAGATTGGAGGGATAAAATTCTATATTGATGAAGACATTTTGATTTATGTTAGATGTTGGTATCTCCCGCCCACACAGGTTGAGGGTACTCGGTACAGACATATATGGCAATATCATGTCTATGGGGTCAGCCCACTTCCGACGGGGATCGTCATAGCAGTTATTTGGCAGAGAACTTGCGTTCCAGAAGTGTGATAGCAATGCCACGAGACATTTCAGTTGTAAGCTTCGAATTCCGGTTCTGTCTTTTAAAGCTCTTTCAACAGACTAGATTGGCAAAGATGCAACACATAAACAACGCTATGAGGAGTCGCTACCATTTATGTTGATCTTTCCCACGTCGACTCCTGTAGCATTCTTTATCGAGTATGACACCGCGTCCAGACAATCTGTGGATATATAAATCTTCGTGGTATCGCCCACGACTTTGTCAAAATTCTCGATAAATCCTTCGGGCGTGTCGCTGACGAAGCCCGGAAATGTTGCCAACATGGTTCGGGCCGCTCTTCCGCCGCCCACGCTGAAAGCCTCTCCAGAGACGGCGCAGTGCTTCCTGGCTAGGGAGGCGACATAGACGGCGACGTGTAGCGTCTCGAAGAACCGACGAGTGATCTTTTTGATGAGAGGGGACAGGTCAGACCGAAGACTGCTCCCTTAGAGGAGGCGTAACCTCCATCGCCGCCACCGTCAAATCCCTAAATGGCGTCAGAACAAGTGTTTATAATGCGCCCGTACCTTTTGCTTTTCCATCACCGGCCACACCATACTAATTAGTAACGCTGTGCCAAGGGCTGCAATCTCCCATCTCCGACGAAACGAAGCTTCATTGATCTTGTCGTGAGAGCTCATTTGTCCCGCAGTACCGGCGTTGTTGACTAGGAAGTATACCGTGCTGTATGTCTTGATGACATTGTCGACGAGTTCTTGCACTTCGGAATTGATAGAAACGTCGTGCCCATCCAGGATAGCTTCCCCGCCGGCGCTTTTAATCTCGTCCACGACTTACTGTGTCCGTGAAATGGAGCCTTTCCCTCCATCGACGCTCCCCCCATAGTCATTCACAACCACTTTGGCGCCTTAGCGGGCCAGCAGCAGCGCATATTCGCGCCCGAGGCCTCCCCCAGCTCCTGTCACAATGGCCACCTGGTCGCTCAATCCCAAATTGACCGATGACATGATGGCGACGGATCTCTTTCAAGATGCGAACGTTGCTCAAAGGTGACAGAAGATCTGGGCCTTTGTTTAAGGTGATGGGAGAATTGTAGTCGTCGAGTCTAGGGCACGTTTGATATTGCCAACAAGATATGGAAAAGGTCAAGTACTACACCGGAGGAGCTTATTTATGCACAGGATGACTAACGCAAAAGCGCTCGATATGTCTAAACTCCACGAGATTAATTCTACGTTGTATTGTACAGTTTAGCTCCGCATCAAGCTGTATGCCAAGTATCCGGGGCAGTGCGAAGGAATCTACATAGATACTGTTGAACGCAGAACAGTTGTGGATCTGTCTGGTTGATTGTGTTCTGTCCCCTTGGCTATTCAGAGAGACTCTGCCTGTTTATATATACATTGGTCTGTAACCATAACAGCATTCCTGAAACCTCCTATTCCGTCGCCATCCTATCACAGGTCTGCAGGAACAACGAGGTTGAGGCAGTTTGCGCAGTTGGTGAAACGCCTAGCGTCTCGGGTGGTTTGCCCCAGTGGTGCTCTCGCGACCCTGTCAACAGATACCATGGTATGCGTTGTCAGCGAATCGAGTCAGCGAGATTCCCTTGGACCTCTCGGCCGATACTCCATAGCTGTTAATCCATCTCCGCAGTAAGAATACGAACCGCAGTGCAGTTGAAATTTCGGGTCGTCAAATCTTTAGATATTTTCATGCCTTAATGACCAGAATGTATATACGTACTCTCTAACGGTGCGATTGACCGCAGTACCAAGAAGGTGTAATGACCGTCAAGCGCCGTCTTCGGTCGAAGGCTTCTGGACGAGGCTTGTAACCCTTTCGTAATCTTACGAAATGTCCCCCGTAACTATATAACTAGTCAGGCGTCGGCCCAGAATCCTTGAGAAGGTGGGTGAGTCAAAATCACGTGCTTTAAAGTCACGTTGTTGTCGCCACGTTATCTGGAATCGGCAACCGTCAACGAGCATCAACCTCTCCAATATGGCATCAGTCATTATACCCACTACAACAACACTGAAATCTCAAGCACAATCTAAGGTAGCTCTGGTGACTGGAGCGGCCTCTGGGAAAGGTTTCGCCATCACGCGACTCCTGGAAAAGCACGATGCAAAAGTCGTTCTAATTGACCTGGACCTGACCAAAGTGCACGCAGCGGCAGAAGAAATTGGTCACGGCAGCACGCCGTTCTCTTGTGACGTCTCATTGTGGACGCAACAGATGGAACTGTTTGAATGTGTATCTCAATAGGGGGGCATACCAGAGATCGTGTGCTTAAACGCTGGTGTCGACCCGGAGTTGGCGACAGTCAGTGGGAATGAGCAAGTAGCCAGTCAAGCCAAAGGCAAGGTCATGGCCAACTATCTGGCAGTGCATCCGACCTCTTGAAGAAGCTCCGGACCTGATAATGGACGTCAATTCAAGGGCGTGGTTTATGGTCTCGACCTTGCCACCTACCACATGATCCCTAACAGGGGAGACAGAGTTAATATCACCGGGTCAACAGGCTCGTATATGCCCCTTGCACACCAAGATATCTATGCAGCTTCCAAGCATGCGGTTCTTGGCTTGATGCGCAGCACCTCGCCGAGGGAGGAGCTGAAGAAAAGGCAATGTCTCGGCCTCTTTCGTAGCACCGTGGCTCACGACGACAGCGATGACGGCCGACATATCAACTGCAATCATAGCTGGAACGGAATCGAGCACGGCAGAGGACGTAGCTTGGGCAGTCGGGTATCTTGTGGCAGCTGGAAGAGAGGAGACTAACGGTGCATGTATATGCATCAAAGGAAAGAAAGTATATAAAGGTGGAAAAGAGCTACGGAGATTGGTTAGCACAACTCGTGTACTTCTGAGGGTATCCTTACTCATGGAGAGCCTTCTACTGTAATAGAGCACTTCAGGGTTCGGCATGCACGTGCAACAACGCACAGAGGCCTGTCCAGCAGGTTGGGAATCGAGAACGCATTTCTGGTTGACGCTGACAGAGCACCACCAACACCACCCAGAGAGGTAGCGGCTAGGGCAGCGAGTGCCTAACACGACGACGGCATTGAGAAGTACGAAAGGGCCGATGAAACACTCAAGAATAGGTAGGCGACATCAAAAACATGGAATACTCTGTCAAACTGTAAAGAATGGCACTCTGCCAGCACTGTGAACTGTTCAGCACTCCCCTTTGGCCCATTTTGGTTTGACGTGTGACTAGACAACTCTCCTTCCTGCTACCCCCCATACCATCCGAGCACAGCCGCTTTGCTTTGTTACAGTAGAAGAATTACTCATGAAGAACATATCGAGTGTTTCCGCACCAGCTCAGTGGATAAATAGTCTTCTTGGCATCTCTTTCCTTTGCGATTGGTTCACGGGCGACAAGATGGTATTCATTCCTCCCTTATCCACAACGCTCACTGGGTCTTGAAGAGATCGTAATGTCATTGATCGACTTTGGATTATCCGCGAAAGTGGCGATTGTAACGGGAACTAGGAGAGGGCTCCGCCACGAATACACCCTGTTGCTGACTCGTAAAGATGTGGTGGTCGTCAGTGACTATTGCGGAACGCTCGACGTGTAGCACTGAACCCTTCCTAAATGGCTTCGTGCGGTGATATCTATATTGGCGTCTTCACACAAATAGATTTTTCACTGGACCAACCTTTTCTGATCCCAATTAATTCAACAAGACGGAGCGAAGGGAACCATTTCACGGGCACAGTCGGTCATGGGCGAAAGTCATTTCCGACGGGAATGACATATATATTGTAACAAGGCAAAGTGGCTGTGCTGTGCTGGGCTGGTGGGCTAGCGGAGAGGGAAGTTGTCTAGTCACATGTCAAACCAAAATGGGCGGGTAGGGGGGAGTGCGAGACAGCTTACAGTGCTGGAAGAGTGCCATTCTTTACAATTAGACAGAGGTTCAGTATTCTATGCTTTTGATGCCGTCTATCTATTCTTGAGTGTTTTATGAGTCCCATCCTAGCTCCTCAATGCCACCGCCGTGCTAGGCGGTCGTTGCCCTGGCCGCTACCTCTCTGGGTGGTGTTGGCGGTCGTGTTGTCTTGTCAGCGCCAACCAGAAGAAATGCGTTCTCGATTCCCGACCTGCTGGACAGGCCTCTGTGCGTTGTTGCACGTGCATGCCGAACCCTAAAGTGCTCCATTACAATATAAAACAGAGTCTAGTGATAAGGAATAGTAGATACCCCTATATTATATAGCCGAGAAGGAAAGAGGAGGATGCGCCTCTCGCTCTGGAAGTACTTGGTATACTAGTAGTAAGAAAATATCACCCTGAATCGTGAAAACCTCTTGGCTGGCGGCCTGATACCTTCGATTGATGGACGCTAATAAGTCGACCATTAGTGAATTGACGCAGCCCCGGAACTTGCACCCTTTTGAAGGGACGAGTCACGTGAAATCTGTGTTGACGGCGATCGCGACCACTTGGACCTCGGCGCCCAAGATAGTAGCCAATAATCGGTCCTATTGCTACTAGTGAGCGAAGGCTTCATCGTATGTTCAGTGGCGTGACATGGTACGACTTTCTTCCTTGCCATAATCTGGAGTTGTGATATTTCACTTCGAGCACTTCGCTATTGATTCTACAGTATATGAACCAGCCTACGATATACCGAGTATAAATCCAGCCATTCACCACCCCCACACTGCCATGAATTATTCGGAAACGGCCCACGACGACGAGCGCGGCGCAACACAAGCCGTTCAGGAGAGTGGAGAAGAATCTGCTCCTCTCCTGGGGCGACGCGGGAACACCGAAAATGGAGGGACTTCGTCTGCTTTGAAGTTCGTCTTGATGTGCGGTTTTAATAGCTTCGTGGCTGACTGGGTCTACGAGGGCTCCCGAAGTATTCTCGGGCCGTACCTCCTGCTCCTGGGAGCCGACGCCCTGGCCATTTCCGTCATCTCTGGCTTCGGCGAATTCCTGGGCTATGCTCTGCGCCTGATCTCCGGCCGAAGCGCAGATCGAACTGGACTGTACTGGCCGATCACCATTGCCGGCTACATCTTGCAAATGGCGGCGGTGCCTTTGCTGTCTTTGGCTCGGTCCTGGCAGGTGGCCGGTCTCCTCATCATTCTCGAACGGGTAGGCAAGGCCACGCGGAGCCCTCCACTGAAAGCCATGCTCTCTCACGCCGCGAAATCGATGGGCTTTGGCTGGGCGTTCGGAATCCACGAGGCGATGGATCAGATCGGTGCTTTATTTGGCCCCCTCTTCGTCGCATTGCTCCTGAAGGTCAAGCACGAAAACTACCAATTCACATTCGCCATGTTGGCGGCTCCCGCTGCGGTAATGCTTCTTGGAGTTGCCGTCGCGCGACTTGTATATCCGCATCCAGAGAATCTCGAGTCCCAGTCTCCAGGGCAAGATACCGATAAACTACCACGAGTTTTCTGGATATATCTCCTTGCCTCGTCATTGGTTGGAGCTGGGTTCGCTGACTTCCCAGTCATGGCCTACAAGTTCCGCCGCACTGGGGACCTTTCCGATGAGTTTGTTCCTGTCGTATACGCTATCTCAATGGCTGTTGCCGGTACAGGCTCCTTGGCCTTTGGTCGACTGTTCGACCGGTTCGGCCTCAATTTACTGGCGCTACTTACCCTGGTAGCGGCTGCCTACGCACCCTTGGTGTTTCTCGGCCGTGGACATGTCCTGGGTATCATTGGAAGCTGTTTTTGGGGCCTAGGAACCGGTGTCCATGAATCCATCATTCCAGCAGCGGTGGCGCCGATGGTCGGACCCGGTCGTCGAGCGTCCGCGTACGGCCTGTTTACGGCCATTTATGGCGTGTCCTGGTTTCTCGGGAGTACCGTTATTGGCCTGTTGTTCAATAGATGGATGCCCGCGGTCGTTATCTTTTCTGTGGGCCTCCAATTGGCTGCAATACCGCTTATAGTCTATGCGGACAGATTGATCAGCCAGTCTCAGACATCAACTGGTGCGGAGGAAGAACCATTTTTAGAGCCAAGTGATATCTAGAGATACAAGCGTCTTGATTGCGAACGTTATTCGGCGATTGATTTTTGGAAGAGAAACACTGTGGCAAAAGGATGATCTATCCCAACTGTCTTGAAGACCTCGTATTGTACCTACTTGGGTATCACAATGCATCTAGTACCTAGAATCTCCAGAATACCGATCCAAGGGAGGAAAGACGCTCGCCACAGTTAGTGCGCCAGTTTCGCCATTCCCTTCCTGTCGACGCAAGAAGGCCACGGCAACCCCACGAGAGTGCCACAAGGCTCACAGCAGCGTTCGTGGCAACCACCACTCAAAGTTCCTCCGTCGAGAGGCTCGCCGCCAGTCAACCTAAAAGGCCCACCTCCGAACATGGAATGATTACGGGATCAAGCACGCGCATGCATTCAGCGGGCCGCAAATTTTTGACAAGAGGTATTAGACAATACTGCACTACCTGACCGATGGATAACAATGCTTAGCAACAACGGGTACCCAGAACAGCTAGAAACTGCAGTTGCTGAAATAAAAAGGTGGGGCCTTCGAGAAGCCGCAGACCGTGAGAATACCATGAGTGCCCAAACTACGCCTGAAGGCGGCATCGGAAGCGGATGACCTAGATGAGCTAAGTGCACGGCACGACGACGCTTATGTCTTCATACACTATGGAACTCTTCGTGATATTTCTCCAATGATTGCCAAACTCATAGAGCTAACGTTCGGGGATGAACGAGATGAATGGGATGAACTTCACTCAGGGGAAAAGCTGGGAGAACACAATGCTCAGACTGCATGATGGGAAGTTCCGTGTGAGAATTGCGGCCATGCCGGAATACCTCAAATTCAAGCATGACTCTGCTCCTTGCATACATGGGCATCAGCAAGTAAACAGACATTCAAACATTGTGCGAAGTCCAACGAGAGATAAGCTATGGTATCCATCAATTACTATAGCTATGAAGATGTTGCTAGAGCAATCAGCAGGAGGGGCAAGGCATGTTGCTTATGGTAAGGTTTGAGGCTACTAGTGCTATCCTCAAGGACAGCAGTACTTGTTTGCGGTACTTCAAAACGTTTCAGTGGTGTTCGGATGGAAAACGGAAATAATCCGAACTTTTGGTGGCTGATATAGACTTTATTCCCAAAAACAGATTTACATCCAAACCCCCGCACTGCCGCCTACCTCTTCGCCACCACAAGAAGAGCGCCATAATGGATAGTTTCGGGAACCTCAAGTATGGCCGCAAAGTTTTACGAGGCTTGTCGATCAAAGGAACTTTTTGCTAGGTCATTTAGACCCTGTTCTTGGTAGATATTGGTCCTACCTCGAGAATGTCACCTTCGTATTCGATCCGTTGGCTGACGGTGGCAGAGAGTCCGAGAGTGAATGACCGGGCCACGATAGGCATACTTGATGGCGAGTTGTGACTTCCTGGCCTGTATTTCAGCGATGCTGTGGACGGCGCACCTGAAACTCTGCTCTTACCCGAGTCCCACCGGCCCAACGTGCGCCGCCGGTTCAAAGGCTCGTTGCTAAATGTCAACCGAGACATGACGGTCGATGAAGTCGCGATAGCGGCGGAAGCGGTTAATGGCCGACGGAAGAGGCGGTCCTGGAAGCGATGGAGCTAACGTCCAAGATGCCAGCTGCAAACCCCAATTCTACGATACCGTGGAGGAACACCCGGGGTGACTTGGTGGTGGAGATGCCCATATGTAATGGCTGATGTCAGAGCGATGTCGAGAGGGTACGGAGTTTCGTATTCTTTCAGGCATCGAGACCGAGTCTCGGTAGCTAAAGTTAGAGATTCTCCATGATGGTTAACCTCCTCAACAATACAACACCCAGCACAGACCCTCCCAAGTCGTCGTCCGTGGCCCTTGAGCTCCCGTAGCTGCTCGTGGCGCCGTCCCATATCCTCACTAATCGGTCCCCCGAACTGGACGCGGTTGCCTCAAATCACAGGGATTTCCTCCAACAGGACAATCTCCCACTGCATATTTTCCTCCAATCTGAGTCAGCTTCCGACCTACACTGGACTTGTCAAGGAATGATGTTTTCGGTCCCTCTCTGATATTGTCTCCTTAACCTTGTCCGGGTGGGGCTGTGATTATCTTCTTGTGGCTTTATGCCCATCTCGCGCTCCAAATATTCCGGCCATCGCAGCGCATAGAAACCTTCAATTGTTATTGTCTTCTTCACCTTTAGTTGCGTCAGTGCTCGAACAAAGCAGAGGTCCTTCCCCAAACCTCTATGGACAATGTTCTCCGAGTCCCAATAAACGGTCAGATGTTGCAAATTTGTGGCTTCACGGCCGAGCTTCTCAAAAAGTTGGCTCCAGTGCGTTGCAGGAGGACTGTCGCAACACGCGTCAACGAAGACGACGAGGTCAGTGATATAGGCGGGATTGTTCTTGTTTAGCCAACGAAGGAGAGAGCACGGTTGAGATACGTTCACAGTAAGTGAGCTTAGGAGGGACTGTGCAGCGTCTTCGTTGATTGTTCGACAGTTCTGTAGGATTGGATCTGTTTTTTCGTCCCACCAATAACCGCCGTTTCTATTGTGGAAGAAGATGTACGGTGGGGACTCCATTATGTATGGCTTTCGGTAGCTTGAGTCGGGGGCTGTAGTGTGAACCTCGTATGCTTAGATGAATGGTGCTGGTTTGCTGGCATTAGCCATTGATGTAGGAGGCGGGTCGGAATCGCCGTCCAGCGGGTTCGACAGCGAGACTATTTAATTTCAATATCGGCTAGGATCTTTGAGCGTGGTTTGGGAAGACGGTTTTTACTCTCTTGTAGACAACAAAGTCCGACTACGGAAAAATTGCAAAAAGGAATGGCGAAAAGCTCAAGGTGTTCAATCATCGAGGGTGATGACCGCAGCCATGCTCAGCATGGTCCGCCGAGGGAAGGTAAGCTTTTGGCACCACGTGAACTCGGCTTACCTTCCCCTACGTCTAAAGTTAACGGGAGGACATTTCGTCATCGAGGTGGGAATCCATTTGACCCCGAAAATCTACAGTACCGCCCGTACCCATCGCCATGCTTCCTCCAGGTTGTAAATCCATCATGGTCTCGACCATTCTGAACCTAATGACGCATGTTTGATTCTCTAGGTTGACGCACAAGTGATAGTGCCGGTAACGTCCTCCCACAGCCTCATGGAGTGTCCCATCATCGATATCCTGTAGAATGCCGCCATGCTGTCCCGCGACAGAGGTGGAAAGTCTCTGGTTGGCACCAACATGGCCCAATTTCACATCTCATCAAGTACCCCACCCCAGCCCTACGACGTGATTCGACGAACAATCATATGTGGACGACTCTGTCTTCTATATACCGCTTTCCAAATGTCGGTATCATCCTACTCGTCATGGATGACCCAAGTATGCAGCAAGCAGCCTCCTATGTCAAAGAAACTGCCGACCCGTCAGCGCTGACCATGTCATCTACTGGCCGAAATTCCTCACCTTATCCAAACGCTATGTACGGGATCAGCAGCAGCACAGGACGACGCAATCGAAAAACATTTCACACATCCATTCTATTGGGACTGGGAGCTAGGCAGGTCTCCGATGGTACATTGTCCTGATCTACCGGTGGTACCAGATTCTAAGTCCTCATATTGACATCTTCATTCGACATTGCTGGTGTGCAACTCTTTTCCCATCTCTGCAATATCATTTCGCGGAAAAGGCTTCTCCTCTACGTCCCCCTGCACAGAACTTCCGTCTCTGATTCATTCCCATTTTAAATTGCCCCAGTCAAACTCGTTGCAGTTTTGCAGCTCAACGCGGATCCGGCTAGTGACTATGCAGATACGTCAGAGCCACCGACGGAAGCTTCATTGGGTCGGTAAGACAAAGTAGACTACGGAATCAACAAGGCTTGTAAGCAGGGACGAAGAAAAACCAGAAGGGGCTGGAGCCCTTCGAAATTTAAAGAAGTTGGTTTAAAGAAGTTGGGCCAAGCAGTGACGACGTCAAATACTTCATCCAATCTCAGGACGACCTCTATCAAATGAGCAAATTGGATCAACTTCCTTGTGCCCTGGGGACTCGATGTTTTCTTCATGGTGGTCTAGCAATTTTTGGGCTACAATTCAGTGTGCCATTGGCGTGAGACTGTTCGATGTCTTGATATGGTCGCCTAGCTCGTCGACAACAACGACAAGGATATCCTCGGCGCTGACTGAATCTGGTTGACAATGGCCTTGCTGGACGCTGTCCGACGTATGAACAGCAGGCGACATGATGCCGAACAAGTGGAACCGGGACCTGATTTGTATTCTGCTGCGATTGTGGGAGGGTTCACCGGCATCCACGTGTGATACCCACCCTGGCTACACGAGGCAGTGTACGAAATATAGTAAGCGTTCACTGCACGGGTCGAGCAGCCGTCCATATAATCCTCACACAACCTGTAAAATCAGTGCAATTGGACCCGTCTACACGAAACCGTGTTGCTTGAAGAAAGGAACCTGTCAACTAGTCAGGACATGTCATCCTCACATTCGCTTTCGAGTCTGCTAAGGAGTCTCCTGTCAGTGCGCTCTTGCACCGGAAACCGTTAGTTTGCCTTCGCTGCTTTTTGAGGATGTCTAGAGCTGCTAAGCTCGTCTATCCCGTTTGTGAGACGCGCATTGCCGCCAATAAGGCAGCCTTTTAGCCATTTCCCGGTCATTGAACGTTTTCTTGTTCCCACGCTTCAGCACCGTGATCAAGTACAACTTTCATTCGAATCTTGATGTCACCTAATTTGGCCAGAAAGCGCCTCTCCGCCTGCGGTCGCATGAAGCGATTCGTGTCGTAGGTCACTTCCCTAACGAGAGCCCTCCATCACGGTATCAAAATGTCATGCCTCCTCCCCCGTAGAACTAGATTCATCGCTCTTCCATTTTTTCCATACCAAAAGAGCAGCAGAATAACATAAGGAGCCATCCAACTCCAGGCACGATCACATCACCTCCGTCGTGGGTTTCTGTGCATAAACGACATGGCTAGGCGGCAAAAAGTCATGGGTCAGCACACTGTGCGCGTCGAGGACCGCGAAGGTGGTTACTCGAGGTGATGATCGCGCAGAGCCTTACAAATCATGAATCATATGCACATTCTTCTTCATCGCATCCTGCCTGACTGCCGCCAAAAAGGCATAAATGGCCTCCACTGACCATCCTAGGGCCCTGGTGAATAGCGCCAGCGTGAGACCTTCGAGGCCTTGGAGGAGCTGGTAAAGATTCAGTGCACCGACTCGTTTCTGTCCAAGTCAGTCCAGCAAAGCATTTCGCGGGTGCAACTTCCATGCTGCCCCGCAATCAAAGCGTGCAACATGCAACGAAGGGCAGGCAATACCAATATCTTGTCCTTCGGCCACGCACCCAAAGGCAATCTGAACACTTTGTGATGGACGTTTACAAATCCGGCCTCGCGAACCCAGGGCTCCAAATGTGGGCCAGGAGAAGCGGTCCTTCCAATTCTCTCGCAGCCGTCCAGCAGCGTGTCATACCATTCTTTGACTTTGTTATCGGGAGGTATCGAATTGTCTTGAGAATAGTTGTGGAGGTCGAAGTCTTGAAACTCGACCCAAGCACCTGGTTTCAGATTTCTAAGAGGAAACTTCTCAGTCCTGTGCTACTACTGGCAAAACAATTGGAGGCTGGAAGAGAACCAGGGGAGGGGGGGAAAGAGGAAAGTGAGACTTCACTGGTAGCATTGACGCATCAATCCAGGCCAGTCAGCGATCGAGCCGGCCATATAACGGGAGTGGATATACTCGAAGGGCTGTGAATACTGCCACTCCGATTCGACGTCGTCTACTTCAAACGATACGTTCGGAGGGACCCTGTGCATCGTCAGAAAGCACACCTGGCCTGGATGAGGCTTCTTACCATTGCGGCTGAATTGGGCTCAGATCGTTGCCAATCTAGGGGTGAAGATTGGGTCAGAGTCATCCTCGCCGAGAAGACGCAAGACTTACTACTTGAGCAGTAGGGAACATGTCCCCTTCGAGGCACGAAGTCAGCCTGGGTGAAACGCTTGTCAGTGATCACCAACCGATTTGAATGGCCCAAGTCCCGGTCCCCGTGCCAATGTCTAGAATTCGGCCGATGCCCTCCTGCAACGGGGCGAAAAAGTGGTTTCCTCCCATTGCCGTCAGGAGCACCTCGTGCATCATGTCGTACCTCTCCTGTTCTCCTTCGTCATTCGGAAAACTGTAGGCTGTTCACTCGTTTGTTGGCGTTTGTCTTCGTCAACATTAAACCAAGGACTTACTGCCTTCTCGGAAACTATGATATCGGCGGCCGTGGTCCCATTTGTAATTCGTGGCGCTGTAACTCAGGGAAGTCGTATAACTTGCTCTTCATCCCAAAGTCAGCGGGAGAAACGTCAACAAGGAAGCATCATGGGGGAATCGGCATACAGTTCGTCTCCACCATAAGCAGAGTCGACATCCTCTGCGCCCTCCTGTAGACGACTTGTCAAGCCTGAGTAAATAGCTCGTTTCGATAAACTCACCTCCACCGCAAGAGCGAGAGCGACATCATCGACGGGTTGAGTGGCCATCCCGCCGATAAGCTAGTGATAAAATGCAAGCTTTCGGAGATGTAGGCAACAAAGTTTAAGAACCACAAGTCATCGAAAGCGGGGAGCTCTAGAACTGAAATCAGGAGCTGCGGGTGCGGATGCGGACGCGTTTGACGGGCCGATAGGTACTGGCAAATCATGGATACACCAGAGCGATAAATTCTGGCACTGCGCAGATTTTGGGGCTCTCTTCGGTTGGGACTCTGGGAACGTGGGCCGTCTAGGGTCGAATTGATGTGACAAGAGGAATACGGCGCGCCAGATGGTACCGAGACCGGCGACTGGATTGATGTTGCGCTGTTGAGCCTTAGCGCCTTGGCATCCATTAGACAGATAGATAGCTGTCAGACACTCTCCTTCATGGATACACGAATACAATACCGCCTGTTACACCCGCACACCTCCTCCCTGTCCCACAGCGCTGATCTTTCGGGGCGGGGAAGTAGGGCGAACAATTGGACAAGGACGAAGGCCAAGAAGCCCAAGCTGCATGTTGGCTGCATGTTGGCTGGCGCATGTTGGGTAACGTGGCAGCTGTCACCGGAGCTCGCCAACTGCCCACCCTGGCGAGGGGCTGGAATATCATGAGACAGTCGCCACACCTGTCCCTTTATCTTCAACTCTCCCTGCCAGACGGCGAAGTCCTGGCGACATCAAGTCGAGCACAACATGTCGCAAGGATCATACATGCAAGATCTGGCGAAGCACATCTCTTCTGCGACCTCGATCCTGGCCCAATATCTCGCCTCCAATGGCCTTCCCGACCTCTCGTTCGATAAAGATGCCCCTCTCTACATGTCCGATTTGCCCGAGGACATTCAGACCGCGCGCCGACGCCTAAGGGAAGCTGCACACGAGCTGTACGTGCTGTCGACCGGTCCGAGCGAGCATATAAGATGGCTCTCATGCAACGTTGGTTTCCCCTCCTGTGCGACCAATGCTCGATCTGGGGAGGCGCTTTGAATTGACCTTGACAGTACCATGATTGCTCCAGCCTTCGCTGGATTTATCACTTCAGAATCGCCGAATTTGTGCCGCTTGATGGCGAGAAGAGCTTCTCGGACGTCGCCAAGGACGCGAATGTGGATGAAGCTCGTCTCAAACGAGTACTACGGCAAGCTATGACGAACAAGATATTTTGTGAACCACGTGTCGGTTTTGTGGCCCATACAGCCGCGTCAAGCGCTCTGGTGCGCGACCAAGGAACGCTGAACTGGGTCGGTTATACCTTGGGCGAGTCCTTTCCAGCCTCGACCAAAGTGGTCGAAGCCACGGAAAAATGGGGCCCTTCCGAAGAGAAGAACCATTGCGGCTGGAATATTGCTTTCGACACCGACTTGCCAATCTTCCAGTACCTGTCGAGCCACCCGCAGCGCGCCGGTAGATTTGCCGAAACCATGAAGGCGTTGACAAGTACGGATGGCTACCACATCCGCCACCTGACAGATGGGTATCCTTGGGGAGACTTCACCGAGGGCACCGTGGTCGATGTCAGTCTCCTTTGCTCTGCTCTTTCGTCATCGAGTGCTAAACGAAGGCCAGGTCGGTGGTTCTGTTGGCCATATGAGCATCGGCCTTGCGGAAAAATTTCCACAGCTCAAGTTCGTGGTTCAGGACCTTCCGGACATCGTCGCGGTAGGTGAGCCAGCGCTCCCTCCGGAATTGAAGGACCGCGTGTCCTTTCAGGCACACGATTTCTTCACCCCACAGCCGGTCCAAGGCGCGGACGTCTATCTACTTCGGTTCATTCTGCACGACTACTCCGACACTCATGCAACCCTTATCCTAAAGAGCCTGCTTCCTGCGTTGAAATCGACGTCAAAACTGCTGGTCATGGATGGTGTTCTGCCAGAGCCGGGAAGCATGGCCCCGAGTGAAGAGAGGCAAATTAGGTATGCTAACTTTGAGCTGCCCGAGCCCCTGGCAGGACTGAATTGCTGACAACGCTGGCAGAGTGATGGACCTGGAAATGATGACAAACTTCAACGCAAAAGAGAGAGAGCTCGATGACTGGCGCAGTCTGTTCTCCAGGGCTGATCCGAGGTTGAAGATAGCCAATGTGATCAAACCTCCTGGAAGCGTCAACTCAATAATCGAAGCGGTGCTCGAAGAGGCCTGACGAGCCCTCCCGCGTAGGTCGATGTAGAGGGAAGAAAAAGCATCGTATGATAGAGAAGCAGTCGGGTCTCCCCTCGACCTGGCCGGGCCAAGGACTAGCCAGGTACGCCTAGAATACTCATCTTAAGCTAGCTGTTCACTTCTTGCTGAATTTACTAATCTATATTTTGAGATCGTACCTTCACACTGTTGACTCATCGGCAGAACTCTTGCCAGCTCTTGCAGTCGACGATGTCACCTGCTTACTCGAAGACTCCTCAATCCACAAAAGTTGAGGTTTCCAGCCACCAGGTGCCCAGAGATCGGTTGAGCACAATATCCTTCATCACTTTCAGGTCCAATGACGAAGAAATTCGCCCTTCTCGGGGGGTCGTACGAGAAGTAAGCTGAACGCGCATTGTCCTACTCGCTCGGCGTTCATTCGAGTTACTCCCTATCTGACCCGACCATTTTGAGTATCTTTGCTAGCTCCTGGCGGTTGGCATTATGCCGCTAATCCCTTCGAGTTCCCGTCCGTCGAGGGTAAAATCCAGTCCACCTTCCAAAAGGCAATAGTAATGGAGGAGATCACCAGAACCGACAACAACAGGCTGAAAACAAGGGTTGCCAGCGGTGAGAAGCCGATATTAGACACCAGAAATCACGTAGTTGAAGGTGAAGTGCCCAATGTGCCGTCACGGTCTGTACGAGGCACCTTTGGACAGGGCGCCTTGGCAAAACATCCTGCATACCAGACCTCTGCGAGTCCCACCACATCCTTTTCCACGGATGCCACTTTCTTGACGAACGCATCTGTGCAGTCGGCGAGGATTGAGAAACTGAAGCATTGAAGCATTGAAGAGGAAAGAAATACCACATCCATCTCGGTCCCAGCAGCTGGCAAAGGGTATTATTCAAAAACTTGATGAGAACCCATTTCGGCACCCTCTAGGTCCCAAAGAGAGCCCCGGGGGATTCTTTGATTCACCCGTCCACCGAGGCTCAGAAGCCCGGAAGAGTTACGGAGACCGAATTGATAGGGGCGGAGCCAGTTTGGGACGCAGCGGCCTTTACCAAATACCCATACTGTTAAGCAGGGGGGGAAGGGTAGGGGACTTTTTCGCGGAAATCTTTATATGGTGTTGTGATCATGAGTGTTGCGTAGGTTGTCAGGTCTAATTACAGGGACGTAAAGGCCTCTATCAACGCTAAGCCTTATTAGGCAAGGCTGTCACCGCCGTCCTCGTACGATGTACCAACACTCTCTTCGCGAGCAAGTCAAGAACCTACGTCAAGCAGGCCACAGATCTTCACCTAGTCCAATCATATGCACACAAGAATATGGGCCATGGCACAAGAGAATACCCTGATTCCTACTACATTTGCTTTCGGTTGTACCGAAAAGGTGATAATTACTGAACCACTCGTTCATGTGGATTTCTGTCCCTATCAAAAACTCACACCAAAGATGACGACCATGTCTGATGTGTCGCTCGCTGTCCAAGGTTGTGCCACAATCGAGGTGGAAATTCACAGATTGAGTACGTCCTGACGTTCGCTTCCAGAAGTGTCGCTGTTCCTGCCTTTCCGTCAGTTCGTCCCTTAACAGAGTCTGGATTAGCACATCGTATTGATTGCGTCCATTTGTTCACCATTGACTGTTCCAGGTGAGGTTCGTCGTCTTCCAGTTCCTAGAGTAACTCCCCTGGAAAGATTTTTTTCCCGATTTTGTCCAGCGTCTTGACTTCGTTGATCAAGTTGCTGGCGGAATCCACCGCCCTGAGCCACGCACCACCCGGTTATGGACGATGCTCATCCCCACCATGCCGTGGTCCGTCCTGGTCGTAGTAGGGAGGATGTACCATCTTTTGTCCTCAACTCCAACTCTTCTCGAACGTAGATCCGGTTACTGGAGCTTTGAGAACCATCCTCTCTCCCCGTCACTGTATCCCTTGACATGCGAAGTCGATCTTTCGTTTGGCTAGTCCTAGTCCCGATGTCTCCACCACTGGTTATTTGTCTCCGGTTAGGCGTGTCCGGCCTGCTCCTCTCTTCTCCCCGATGACAAGACCCAGTAGTCTATCTCAACCTTCACTCTCCAGTGTCGTCTAGCCTCTTAAGTCCTGCCTACCTCTTAGAAGCTGCCTCGAAGGAATCAGTGGCGGCGGCCTTGCCCTTGCGGGTCGGGTCTTGGCGGTGACTTTGCCTTCCTTGCGCCCCTTCTTTTTCGCCAGATCTGCGTGATCCGACGAGGCGACCAAGGCCCAACGCTGACAAGCATCGTTTGCCTTATGTCCTTCGATAGTGCCGCATGCAGCGCGACCCTCTTCGGGGTCCACATCTGCCCTTCGAAACTGTCCCTCTCCGAGCCACCAGGTCCCGCGAAGCGGAGGTGTTTGATAGACTGCTTTGGTGCGCGGTGGAATGCTGCGTAGGATTTGTCAATTCTCGTCAACCGCATTGTTCGTTGAAAAAGTTTCAAATTGTCCTCCGAGAAGGCTGCGACCAAGGCCGAGATCACCATAGCCACTGCACCCAAGGACACATTCTTGATGCGATATACAGTGTGCAGAGGCGAGACTATCACCAGGCGTTGATCCAAATACCGGGGGTTATCTCAGCCATCTAGCCAGCACCTTGGATACCTGCTCGGATGTCTCAAAACACACTACTAGGTCCTTCCCGAGGGAAGAGACCTCAAGGGGAGCCGGCGGTGGGTTATCGTCGACGGATGTGCGTTTCATGCGTTCAGGAAGTCTAGCTGATCAAACGACTCATTCTTAGTAGTAGGCTTGAAAGCAATCAAGAAATGACCGTCAGCTAGGATGCGGATGAAGGATGAAATAATTTCGAAGGTGGTTGGTTCGGGCTCGGTCTCTGTGCCTTTGCTCCCATCCTTGACCTCCATCCTCTCTTCCATCATCGCCGTGTTCTGGTGGGTGTCGAAGATCGTGATTGGGTGTACCAAACACCAGCCGTCCACCATCACTGTTTCATTGGCCGCCAGTGCCTCGATGACATGCCGTTCTGCGCCCAAGTCGTTCTGATGCGCAAGCCTTCGACCGTTCGTGTCGGCCCGGTGTCTAACCATATTCCAGTCCCCACAGATGATGTCGCACGCTGGCTGGCTTTCCATGGACCCCAACTCTTCCTCCATCTCCCTGGAAAAGTGAGTTCGTCTTGCCTCTGTTGGGAACTGTACAAACACCCGATCGTCCATTTGTCCTCTTTCAGAGCAAATCTCGACCATTAATGTCTTCTCGGCTATGCTTTGCAAAGCATGTGTTGAGGTTGAGGCGCTCACATTCGTCGTGATCTTGACATCAAGTTGATCTTTGTCAAGGAGGATAGTGCTAGAAATGCATACCCAACCCCTCCTTTTCACATCCACCTCTGTGTATATATATATAAGCAGCCAACCTCGCCTCCTATAGACACCCCACAAGTTCAATCCTCTCAATCCCGGATGGATGGCTACTCCCTCTGCTTCACTGTCGGCCATTACGCCCGTGACGATGCGTAAATTAGGCCAGTTGTCCCTGAGTTCGTTCCCTCCAGTTCCGTTGATGTGCGTATCTAACAGCCCCAAACCACACTATGACCCTTCCTCACGGGATCCAGGATTTGTGCCCTCTTTCTCTCTTGTTCTTGCGCTGTTCGTCTTTAGCGAAGCCACCCGAAAGCCATGCCCCATGTCGTGTTTCAGTCATCTTGTGGTCTTGTCATGTTGATGATTTGATTTATGGGGAGTATCTGCTGTTATCCCTTGAGCTGGGTCTCAATGTAGTCCGAATCGCGTGGCTGCACGCAGAATTTACGCAAGCAAGGAGAGGAAGGAATGACGAGGACTTTGAGGTCTGCACCTGCTATCTGTGCTTGCTCTGCTGTTTGTTCGCTTTCTCTTTCATTGTCAACTTCGCGTTTGCGGGCCGCGCGTCGCGTCACCATCACTCGAGGAAGACGATTATGACCATCGCTTCTCTTCAAGAAGCCGAAGGCTTGTCAATCTCGAATATCGCGGTACATCCCTTCCCGCCTGTTCATGCAAAGCGGTGACTCCAGCTAGGATGTGTCTCAAGAGTGTCATGTTGTTTACAATTGGAACGGTGACTTAGAGGATGTGCTTTCATGGGTGGGTCTGAAACTGGATGTTCGAAGTCATTGATCTTTCAGTCGACGGCTTGTTGGTGGTATCGGAGCAGGGACGGATGGGTTGTGCAAACGCTTCTTGTGTAGGCGATGGACATCCTGTGTAACGGAGTGGTGCGTCAGTTGGCCGGGTCAGGTCCGTTTCCCTTCGGCGATGATGGTCATGTGCCTGGAGCCATCGGTAAAGAGAGCAAGCCCGGCGATAAAGAATGAAGTCCCTTCTGCCTACGGAGGGCGTCGCAGTGTTGGAGAATATCAATACTTTATGTTATGGCGTGGCTGGTCACCCAGGTGAAACAGATACAGAACCCCGTTTCAGTCGTGCAACGGCCGCTCAATGGCTGTCATCTTAGCATCCCATGCCCTACGTCTCTTTCATTGGCCACTCAAGAGCAGGATGCCATTCTGGTCCCAGTAATCTCGCAACGAGATCAATTGTCTGCTGCGCCCATCCAGCGAGAAACCATTTCTGGGATCTGCAACCGATTCCTGCAGACCAGTGGCAGAATATCACCAGGGAGACCGGGTCGCGTTGTTTCAGAAGCGACATGTATTCCACTGGAATCGAGGATGGCCAATATACCAGGTGTAGCCATGTCGAGGGAGATCCAGATGTGATGGCGAACCAACTATGAAGGAAACGGATAGCTTCAGCGCGTGCAATCCGAGTTTCGAGGGGAGCATTCGAGCGACTGTTCAATGACTCAAGGCGCTCTAACGCTTGCTGGTGGCTGCTGTAGAGAGGTGCGGGTTGAAAGTGTCGCCTCTGGAGGAAAAGGTTGCTCACCCGACTTTGAGCCAAGTAAGGATGAAGCTGGCCGATCAAGGACCACGCACCCCGCAAGGCTGATAGTGCATGAACAAGTTGCCCAAAAGCTTCTTCTAGAGTCCTGTCGCCGGATGCCCTGGCGGCACCAAGCTGAAAGACGGATATCAGCAAGGAGAAGGCCAGCACTGCGACGCAGTTGTCCTTTGTTATCTCAGCCACGTTAGATCGAAATTGAACCGTTGCTTCTCTATGGTTCCGCCATGCCGCCAGGTGATATTCGCTCCGATTCGGTGGCTGCAGGAAACAGATATGCAGCGCAGACGTTGCCAGCAAGGCGTGGCGCAGAAAGGCATTGTTCTCGGCGTGCAGGGGGACCTCGATCTCCCATGTCCAGCGAGTTTCACTGAACCATGCCAAAGTGGTGGAGGTTGTTGAGACGAAGTTCGACAACAAGAGAACGGGTTCAACATGTTGACTCATGGGAGCGGATGGATTCAGCAAGCATATTACATGATTTGTTCGGTTTGGGATAGGCCTCAGCGTGTGAGCCGTGGGCAGCGGACTGTCCAAGTGCTCGAAGTCGCATTCCTCGCCGCGTCTGTCGCAGTGCTTGCATCGTGGCGCCTGCAAGTCGCACTGTTATTAGAACGCGAGTCAGTCAGCATCGTTCAGGGACAAATCAAGGGGACGTCATATGGCCTACCCTGACCCTCCTTCTTTTGCAGTTGCTACACCCGTTGCGGGTCTTGGTATGATAGTTTCTCGAACCGGCCATCTCGCAACGAGTATCAAAGAAAGATTCAACTTCACAAATGGCCGAGAGGGTTTAGTGAACGAAGAGAGGAGGCACAGCTGAGGTAGCTGGACTCGTTCATGGCTCAGATCCTTTCTCCCAGTCGGCTGGCCCCTGACGGCTGTGTGGCTGAATAAAGATTCTCCCCAACGATCCTTTGAGAGAGCTTTGTAACAGCACTCCTGTCCCACAATACTCCCACCTAGCTTTCGACGCGGGATCATCGAGGCGAAGTTGACTGCAATTTCTAGAGGTCATTTTGCATTTCGAAACGGAGAACGGCCGTCGCGCTATTCGCTCATTTAGTTTAGTGTACGAAGTGCCAAGACATGGATCCTTGACGAGGCTGAACCGCCTGGGCAATTTCGCCGTGTTCCTATTCGGTACTTTGGGGCCCAAAGACCTTCAGCACCAACAACTCTGGCACCTTCCAAACACCAGAATCCTGGCCTTGATCAAACCACTCTCCGTTTCCACAGTGGAAATGTGTCGGGAATCGACTGGACTCAGCGATGCAGTCTGCCCAGGAGAGACACTGCCATCAGGGGAGTTGATTTAAGGAGGCTCCAATTCCCGGAGATGGAGGTCTCATCCATCCAATATTGACCACCTCTTCTTCACTTTACCTTGCCCCAGTGACGATGCTTCGTGCTTTGACTTTTCTGTGCACCTTTGCACTGGTCACAGCAGCTCAAGGCACACAAGTCAGTGAATACTCAGTCCAACGGGTGGCGACGTTGCCGAATTTCCTTGTCGAAAATCTGGCTGTAAGAGCCAATGGTCAAATCCTTGTTACAACCTCAGCTCCTGCGGCTACACTATTGCAAATCAACCCCCTTTCAGCCAGCAATGCCACTCTCGTCGCGCGATTTCCGAGCGTATCTGGTTCTTATGGTATCACTGAACTTCAACCGGATGTGTTCTATGTGGCGACCGGCAACTTCTCCATCCAAACAAGGCAGCCTGTCCCAGAGTCATTCACACTCTTTAAACTTGACATGGCCGACTTTCATCAGCTTCCCATCGGAAGGGTAACCAGCCTTCCGATTCCGCGCAAGATCGCGACACTTACGGATGCCATTGTCCTTAACGGACTCACGCATATCGATGGACAGGACGGATTTGTTTTGGCGGCTGATTCGTATGCCGGCGTGATTTGGAAGGTCGACGTCACCACAGGAAGCGTCGTGGCGGTGATAAAGGACGATTCGATGAATCCCAGTCCCTCTGGAGCAGCAGGAATCAATGGCTTGAAGTATCAAAGTGGCTTTCTCTACTATACCAACACCGGGACAAACCTATATTATCGCGTCGCTGTCCATGTCAACGGTACCGCATCAGCGAATCCCGAGGTCATCGCGCAGATCACGAAACCGGACGACCTCATCCTGGACAACGCTGGAACGGCCTACATCTGCCAGCAAGTCAATGCTGTGAGCCGCGTCGCCGGCAATGGGACGGAGCAGATCATTGCAGGTAGCGCGAACAGCAATGACAGTTCGCTTCTAGGGCCGACCGCAGTGGCTTGGGGAAGGCTTCTCACAGACAAGAACAAACTGTATGTGACCACCAACGGAGGACAGTCGGCTGCTTCAAATCAGGTGTTAGGATCTCAGGGACTCTCCATGATCGGGCCTTTTGAGCAGGAATCCACAGCAGAGAGCAACTCTTCGACTTCAGCTACAGTTTCGTCAACACCAGGTGCTGCTACACAGACACAGTCTACAGGAGGAGCTCCTACACTTTTTGATCAACAAGTGCGCTGGTATCTTCCAATGGTTTTTCCGCTGGTTCTTTTTTGTGTGCTCTCTGCCGAGTTCTCTGGATGATAGATATCTTTGCCTTTTTTTAATTTTCACCTGAGCCAAGTAATAACCCAAGAAATGAGCCCTTTTTCTGTTCCACATCCATCACCCACACTTGCATGAATTATTAATCAACGCCTTGCGGAAATCCGTAGGAACCAGCTACCACGATGACGGTGTCCAGCAACAAGAACGCCACCCAAGGCAGGAGAAACAGCGATGTCGGTGTTGAACGCCTGGCCTTGCTATGTTCTCGCTACATCCATTCCAGATACGATGTTGGCGTCACTCATACCGTTTCCGACAGCAGTCCTTTTCAGGGACATAAACATGAACATGAATATGAACGTGGCCTCCTTCCCTTACAGCCGGGCGTGCTTGCTTGCCCGTCGAATTTGTTGGGGTACACAGCAAGAGTGTCGAGAATACACTCCTCGGAGCGGCGGCGTCGCACTGTCTGGCGGGTTATGCAAACACCCACTTCCCTTCCACGGTTGAACGTCACAGGTACAAAGCGAGGAGTGCTGAAGGGTTGAATTGGCGTTCTACTGCCAGATCGACGTTTATTCCGCTGTATGATCTCCCGACGCGTCGCGGAGTTGGTTGACAGAAACGTGCATGGAAAGGAGGGAGGGAGGTATGTGAACAGCATAACTGCAAATATCTGTAAGAGAACCAAGGTCCAAGGCATTCTAGAACTCGTAACAAGTAGATCGATCTGTCCGTCTGTGCAGGCTCCCCGGGAACCCCTCGGTCCGGGGGGTTCACCGGCCGGGGCAACTGGCCGGCGGCACCCAACACTGGGGTGGGGACGCCCTTGGCAGGCTTCGGCCGTCCGACGTTCAATTAACAGCCAACCTAGAACCGGGACAGAAAAGGGGAATCTGACTTGCTAATTAAAACATAGCATTGCGATGGCCAGAAAGTGGTGTTAACGCAATGTAATTTCAGCCGGGTGCCCTGAAGGTCAAAGTGAAGTAATTCAAATAAGCGCGGGTAAACGGTACGTCTTTCAAACTCCTCTGTAGCATTATCCTAACGTATGGAATTTAGGCTGGAGTAACTACGACTCAACCACAACGAAGAGGGTCATGAAAGCGGCGTAAAAGGCGTCCACTGTTAGGGTTACCGGGCCTTCTTTGACTCGGTTGGATAATGCCTTGGGAGAGAGTTTGGTTTCCTGTTACAAAACGCCAAATATCCCCTCTCCCGTTCCGAGTGGTGATCCAGTTGTCAACTGCATCCCAATGACAACGAACACTGTCAGGGCAGACACAAACACATGGTACAATTGGTGCAATTCCTGGAAGTTGCCGTCATGACCACCTGGGTGAGCGGTGTAAGTGGAAGCCGCTGCCTTTGGGAACGTTCAGGTGGTGCTACTGTAGGTTCAGAAGCAGCCTTTCTCAACCAACCTGGCGCACTTTATCCTTGATGCGACGTATATAGTCTTTGGAAAGGTTCCAGGCCGGCTGTGGTGCTGTCTCGAGACAAGGTCACGCCGGCGGGGGACCGAACCACACCTCTTGCACCCCCCCCTCCCCCCCGGCCCCCCCGGCCCCAGGTCCGACGACTCACAAAAACTGTGGCGCCCGGCTACTCTTGGCGACGGAAAACGCACTGCGTGGAGGAACGCGACATCGACCAATGCATGTGGTACGAAAACGCTTGCATCGCGACATGTCCTCCTGCCATTCGACGAAATGTATGCTGTGTGACCAACATCACTGAGAGTCATGACGCTTGCGTGGCTTAGAGACGGCATTCACCTTTGCCTTGGCCAAGATATAACTGAGTTCCGGCGCAACTACCATCAATCGTTCTCCTACACATCGCATGCACGGTTCCTGTGTCGTTTAGAATCTAGTTTACGTAAAAAGAGATGTCGGATCTGCAAGTGCAGCTAGCGGGTTTAATGACTGAGTGGGATTTATACAAGGGTCATGACGACCAGAAGCATTCACTGATCACGGTATGGCAAACTTATGAGGTCTCAGATGGTTTCCTTACTTCCGATCTAGAATCTGTTTGCACACATCGAAAGTCAATCTATTAAGTTATCGGATGCCGAATCGGAGCTTCGTGATAAGAAGGATATGATCAAATTGACCCGTGCTTAAGTTAAAGAAGCCGAGAAACAGATCCTAGCCATCCAGCTTGAAAAAGTAAGATGGACTGATTTTCTGTTTGCTCCTTTGGGGACTGACTTTCACAGGCTCGGCTCGCTTTCGCCTCAGTTCTAATCGACGAGTGACTATATACCGGTATCCTACTGCAGCTATGACATACCTGATTGAGTGGTCGATAAACTCAACGAAAGATTTTGCAGCTCCAGCCCGGCGACCTTGGCAGGACGGCTTGCCTCTTTTCAGCCCCCGGCCGCGGTCACGGCGCAACTTCTCCATGCCATCCTTCTGCTATTGTGCCGTTTGTCTGTGATACAATTCGCTTTGCAAAAGCTGATCGCGGAGGTTAGTCGGACTATCACCAACTCACCGTCGTGTTCATGCACTATGGGCGGGTCATGATATGTCAGGCGCATCCACTGAAACAGTAGGATTTCCTAATATTCGAGAGCAGAACCTTCCGATATTTGCGGGTGCAAGTCCAAGAGTGTTCTAAATGTTGGAGGTCTGGGTGGACGAAAAAGTGTTCGCCCGAAGTTGAAGCTGCTTTTGGCAATCCCAGGCGTCCTGGTCGCCTCCTCAGATTTTGGCACGCGGTTTGCGGCTTCGGCTGAATTATGGGCGTAGAGACAATGGCTTGGACTGTTGCTAACAGGCCCCGCTCCGATAGTGAGAGTGAAGGCCACTGAGGTGATGTTGTGTCGGGGACAGCCTAAATCGACTGGAGACATGGAGTATAACCAAATAATCCAAATTCGAGTCGTCTGGCCTCCTTTCCTTTGTCTCCCTTTGCCGCGGCAAGCCACCTGGAGCCAGGAAACGGACATTGTCGAGTTGTCCGAATGCATCTCGCCACCGAGTCTCTGGCTCGGCCTTGTCAACATTGCCAGCCTTGCCAGCCAAGCCGTTGAGCTAACCGGCCGCTGACGTCAGTTAGAGTATTCAACCAATGGGAGCTGCGGACCTAGCTAGCTTACCACCTCAAATCATCTCAAAAACAGGTGCTGCACCTGCATGAACCTGCATCATAATGCATTACCAGGTAATCCTCCTATAACTTTCAGGAGTCGTCGAGACTGCTCTTTTCTGTCTTGTTTGTGAATTATATCTATATCCGATACATTTTGGAGGGTTTGGGCGGGCAACGCTGTGTCGACGTTGGCCTCCGCAGAAGCTGCGTGCAAACTGAGGCGACATGGAAGGGGTGTTGGGGATAGCATGTAATAAAAGGACAGTCATCTGTATCCCCAGTCCGCTGTTCTCAGGGTCGAAGCTCCTTCGCGGCTGCATGTCCCCTACGTTGGTGGAACAAATATGGGCTGCCCTGTGCGTGACAGACTTTCCGAGAAGCCAGTGCCTCAGGTAGGGCTCGGTAGAGCCTGAGTCGGGATTCCTAGGGAGCCTATTCGGAAGGGTTCTGGGGTCTCTTGAGGATTGGTAGACGGGGATCATCCAGGAATCAATGCCCCGTGCGTCCCCGACACTGCCACTACAGGCCCAACCATGCAGAAGCGACATGAAGCACCAAAAATCTCCCGGACATTGGCGATCACGCACGACGGTGTTTCTTTGATCCCTGATCCGATCGTCCATGAACTATCGAGAGCTATGAACCAACCCAACTGTGTCAACCGCTTCTCAGCCACCGAGCTCAAGACAAGACCCAAGGTCTACCGCAAACTTTTGGTGGGGAGCGTTGGTCTGTGCAGGCCAAATGTCCGCGCCATACCGGGTAATACTTTGGTGGTGGCTCAAAGCATGCCAGCTTGGAGAAGGGTACATGTCAATCATGGTCCAAGCTGTGGCATGTCAGTGGCAGGATAGGTTTCCACTGGACGGGGAATTTTGCTCGATATGTTCTTCTCATCTAGCCCTGCCCGGTGATGAATGCCTCTGTTTAAGTGGTTATTTTTTCCCCCGCGAAATTCACTAGTTCTAAGTACGTGCTGGGTTCTGATGTAGTCAATCCAGAGCCCAAATCACCCCAGCCCTACCGGGCCTGGATGCTTTGAGGTATGTCATAGTATAAGAACAAGTACTCGAAATTAGTGACCCCCAATTATCTACCAGTCGCCATCATTCTCATCCGCCTCTGCGATGTACCCTGGTGGAGACACGAGAAACCCGTGGTGAACTCCAACCTGTCGAAGCTGAAGCAGTTTCCTGACTTGTTAAAGCCAAATTGCGATGTTCCTTATACCAAGAAGAACGACAGATTACAGCCCCGCAACAGAGATCAGCATCTTCCTTTCTTTCTTTGAACAATACTGCAGGAATACCGAAAGACCAACGCGAAGCAACAAGCTGGACATCTGGTGGCCCTCAGACAAATCGCCAGAACACTTGCTGTATCAAGCAGGTGGGATGCAAGGGCTCCGTGATCTCGAGTGCCCTTGCACCAGAATATACCTGTAGAGGTAGATAGTGGAATCCGAAAACGAGTCGAGGTTTTACGTACAGCTGGCCGCCCGTGCCCAATCACCTTCTGGGGTAGATGGTCGACTTTGTGTCAGTGGTACCGAGTACTCGGTACTCCTATTAAGCTTCTAGTCCAAGTGCTAGCCCGAAACGAGCGGGAAGGCGTCTGGGAAATGAGGCTCCTTGCGCTTGAGACGCTCTGCTGTTTGCCATGTCTTGGTCCCTCCAACTCGCCGATCAGTGGCCAAAGCTCGATCCAGACCAAATATGCGGGGGCTCCATGGTCGACCAAGATCGGGCCTATGCCGCTTTTGGGCCTGTTTTGCTCCCCGGTCCTCGCTTGGAAGGACTTTTCGGGCGTATTGCGGGGGGCTGTCTGGATCACCATCCTTCCTCACTCTCTTTAGCTGGCGGCCAGGGCTGAGCTGATCTGCCCTAATCCGACTTCTCCACCCAGAGGCGTGTTTGGATGAGCAGGTCCTGGTGGTCACTGGAGAGCTGGCAATGGTGGTCTTTGCGTGCATGAGTGGCTCGCACTGGCGAGATTTCTGGATGCCGCAAATGCCTGCACGGCCCCTTCTCCATTTCTCACGCTCGCCGACTTGGGCTCCATGCAGACAATACCTGGGGCAGTTGCTGGGGTTAGCCTCGGAATAGAGCTTCTGCGTTACTTTAGGTCGACGGAAGTCTTGCAATGTACGAGATCAGGGGTGACGGCTTGATGTCAAGGGCCGAATGAGACGCTGTATGGGGTATGATCTCCGACGATCACAGGGGTCGCGAACAAAAAAGCTCACCGAGAATGACAGAGACCTACCGGAATACACTAGAGATCTCAACTCTAGCCATCAGGAGCAGACCGTCTGCCCCCTGCTTGATGCTCGATCTTCGCGTCATTAGCAGATTCTGGCGTTCGCTAACACGCACGACCCTCATTCGACTACGCTTTCACTAGGCCAATTCGGTCGTCCCACAATGCGTTCGGTCGGCGACCTTCAACGAATTGTCTCTTGTCATGGAACTGAATACGAACAGAAGAGGCGGGGAACTGTGGTTCTTGGATTCTCATCGAGGCGTGACTTCCCAAGCGTTCAACTCAGCATGGTCCGTTCTTCATCCCCGGAAGAGGAGAGGACACTCGATGCGAGAAGGCTGAGAAGATTCTGAGCGGGGTACTTCCTGCTGGCGGCTGGCCTGGCTTCCACCAAAAGATATGAAAAGATTTCAATCCCTCCCCTTTAGGTCTGCCTCTGTCTCAGGCTCTTGAAGGCCCTCGAACTCATTATTGATCGGGTCAATAACGGCGCCATCAACGCAGTTATCGCCCGGGATTTTGGGCACGGATTTCTCCTCCCTTTGTTTTCTCATCTCTCTCCAACACAAGGACAGTTACTTCTCTTTGCTAACCTTCCTTGGACATGGCCTTGAAGTCCACCCTTCAGTCCATTCTGAACGATGATGCTGGCTCTGTTCAGCCAATGGCTAAAGGCGCCATCAGTGAGACCCACACACCCTTTAATGGTGGTGCTGGCTCCAGCAGCTCCGGAGACGGACAGACAGCTGTCATGCTCCCAAATGAAAAGCCGTCCAATCATGCAAGCGGGGCCGGACAACTAACGAGTCCGAGTCCGACCATGAGCATTTCATTCATAGTTTCTCCAGAAGAGCCAAAGGAGGAATTCGACGACAAAGGCGCCCCTGCCGGCCGGCCATGCCACCATTACACTGAAGAACATGGCTTCTTTGTCTGGTATCATCGAGTGGACCTCGGTGAGGACTGGCGGGTTGTGGGGAAGGAGTTTTGGGAGAAGTTCGGCAAGGGGAGGGCGTTGGTGGCCCTTCAAGGCCTGTATTACGGCTTTTCCAAGAGGAAAGGCGTCAAGAGCCGAAGGATACGCCCAGACTCTCGTGTTCCACGCATGGTGGAATGGACACATAAGCGGTATTCCTGGATGCGACCCGAGGATCGAAAACGGCCTCAGCGTCATTGATACTGGCACCTTTTTGGTTTTTGTTTGGTTGGGGAGAAGGGGGAGGACAGGGGAAGCCTGGAATATGTATTTATCTTCGGTGTCGAGGCTTTGCGTCTTCTCTCACATTCGCTGCGCCGTTTCTTTTCCCTCTTTTTTGCCTTACCTGAAGGGCCGTGTTCCGTGGCACCTTGGCTGACGTCGAGGGGGAGTTAGTTCTTTTGTTGAGTCTTCAGGATAGCAGCAGTCTCTAATTGCATTCCTGTCACTGGGAGGGCATTACATCCGCTCGTTTCCAGAGGAGATAACGATTGTATTTATGATCGGTGGCTTTGGTCCAAGTCTGAGTCTAATTCAAGCATTCCCAAATGGGACTTGAGACTTTTGATTCGTGGAAGATACGTGACTCGAGTGGTAAGATACCAGCATTGGGCGTCAACAAATCCATTTTCCACTCAGATGATGAGAGAACATATCCGGCCGAGAGCGCACCGGATACGGCAAAGGCGCAGTGCTCTGCTGGCCATTAAATGAAATAGAGAACGCGAGGCTAGCCTCTATTATCGTCGTACTTGATAACAAGATCAACCCTGCGTCTCGTCTCGTCCGGAGGTTGGTCAGGGCCCACACTCCACCCAGAGCCACTGAAAAGGAACTTGGTTAGATAGTATGAACATAGTTTGATGGTTGCGTTTTCCTGCCATGTTTACGCCACGTGCCAAAGGTTATCAAGTCGATCATTCACCAACAATGACAACCTGAAGCTCGAAATCAACGCCCGGTTCTTTAACAGCATTAAGGAAGAATGAATTGTTTCAAGTTCTTTGGAGACAGTCGACGGCAAGTGTCAACACATTCACGAAAATCGTCAGAACAAGTCGCGATGGACCTTTTGGTTAAGAACAGGAGGACCAGCGATTCGCGACTTTAATAGCATTGGTTCCTGTGGGAGAAGTCAGGTCGTCATGGTTGGGGCCAGTACTAACCAGCCTTCTCTTGTAAGAGAGATACTTTTTGGTTTCAAGTAAGCATTGCACCAGATCGGGGGCCATGAGCCATCGCCCCATCGCGTGTCAGTGGTGACTGGTACTGTTGTACACAGAACAGTTGGGATCCTATCTGCTTGATTGTGTTCGGCTGGCTATTCAGAGAGACTCTGCCTATCTATATACTATTTGCACTGTGACAACACGCGGTCTGCTGAATAGATCTGGACCTGGCCAGATCTGTCCAGACCTCGCTGTCGACCAACGGTGGCACTGAGGCTGTTATAGAGAGGGCTCGGATGAAGCATTGGTGGATTGGTTGGTTTGCCACAGTAGCGTTTTGCTGCCAACAGGTATGATGCGACGTTCAAGCAACTCATCGAGGAGGGAAGGCATCCTGGTGGGAAACAAGGGTATTCAAGCTTTGAGCATTGAAAAGGAGTCCGGGCTTACTTTCGGGTTTCCACAATACCACACAATTATAGCTGACTCTACCCGAGTTCCACAGTTTAGCGGCGAGGATGTCTAGACGAATCAGGGGGTCTTATGTATGATTAGATGTTCGACATTCTGGATAGCAATGCGCAGCCTCTCAACAACGACAGCCATAAAGACAGTAAATAGAGGAAGCTGTGAAATAGAGAGGGTGTGAAATGAAGGAGGGGGAGAGAGGACTCCGATGCGCTACAGCTGACCCGCGCACAGAGTCGAGAGCTATTTCTCGCCTCGAGTCGTACAGTATGCAATCGTTTACCTCAGACCCATGCCATTCATCCATTCAAGCCGTAGGTGACCACCGCTGCGCCTCTCATTCCTGATCTAACTGTGGCTCCGGGCTCCACAAAACGGAACCAGGAATACCCATCGTGCAACGGCTAACGGCCAGAAGTGGTTGTGGTAGGCTTGTCTGAATACACTGTCCAAAGAGAGGTGAATAATGTCTCCAGGCTTACCACCAAAATTTAGACTCTCGAAAAGCGTTTACAACTGTATCTGGTTGGAGCCATGCTGCTAGAACAGGAACGGTGACCATGCTGACAAAGTATGAGACTAGAATTAAAGTCTTTGATCGACCACGGATGGGAGTTCGGTGAGGAACAGAGAGGAGTGAAGAAGACATATGATTTCAAAATTTATAGTAACATTTGCACGGATTTCACCCAAGCATGGGAACAAGAAGCAAGTCTAAAAAAAAAACCAAAATTTACAAATGAATTTAATAGCTCTCCGAGTCCCTATTCTGCGTAACGATCAAGGGAAATTTACTTCCAGAAAATGGAATACCTTACGGCATACTGGACGACGCACTGCCCCGTCAGTCTCTTAACCAAGGACATATTCATGGGGAAATTCTGCGATGGAGGTGAAGATCGTTGGCACGGGTGGACAAGAGCAAAGCTCAGCGGGGCGGTCCCTAACCCGATCTTACTGCTATAGCAGAAATGAGAAAAATTGGTCAAGATTCTCGGACATATCGGCAAGAAAAGGGAAACATCAATTCCCGAAGGCTGATATATTTCAGAGTCGATGCGTCATTTTCCTTGTGGACTTGAAGTACCGGCTAGACGAGGATAAGGGAAGGGAATTGTGTGCCATCCTAATTCACCATCGTTGATCAACATCTAACCTTGTTGGGGTTTACGTTGGGTGAGAGTTACACCCCCCGTCCAATTCTCCCTGCCATCAGTCTGGGACGGATCGACTATCATCTGAAGGCTCTGCCCCCGATCCCACAACACCTTTTTCCACGGATGCCGCTTCTTGTCAGGAACATCTGCATATTGGGTTCCGCTCAGGCTACCCTCCACTAGGGTCGAACTCATGTCTGCCAGCCTTGTTCAATCAAACGCAACATCTCCCCCTCAACGTTGCCAAGTGACGGATGTCAAGGCGGTCTATACCTCAGAGCGCATGACGCTAATTGAAATAGCCCCGAGGAGGCAGCTGCTGAAGTTCGAATATATATGCCAGGAAACTTAGTGTCGCGGAAGCAACCTTGTAGCGACTCAACAGCCCATTATTTACAGATCCCTAGGCGAGACGTAGGTACGAGGTATTGCCGATCGTAAGGAGCCAGATTCAGGGCCCCCGGTGGATTTCTTCAGGGATGGCTCGGAGCGTACTCAGGAAGCGCTCCGTGATGCTCAGCCAAAGGCTCAGCTTACAGAGGCCTCCGCTCACCCTCGCGTGAATGGCAATCAATTGGTTTTCATTCTCGAGTAATACCTACAGATCCTCGTGTAGGACTTTGTGGTAAGTGTAAAGAGACGCCCTTGGCGCCTATTCCTCAGTACTCGGTACATAGCTGCCAGACAGACTTACATAGATGCTCAATATCATACGAGGTACCGCCCCATTACCTCCATCAGAGCCCTCTGCCTCACAGCGTCCTCTGAGTTGCTCCAGGGGTCGCGCAATGCCTCCCGGGCTTCACCCGTGAGCCTAGAGAGCCACGGCGGGCGGGGTGGGTCAGACCAGGCTATATCATCTCGCTGCAGCGCTCAAGGAGTCGAAAATGCTTGACCCGACATAATGTCTATTGAACCACAACTCCGTACAAATACAATCCTCGCGAGCAACAAAACTGTGCCAACTGATCAATGTCCCTCGAAAGTATCGTATCCCACCAGTATGGAATGGAGTGGAATAAGAATGCCATGTTCCAGACTCCATCCCTTTCCGACGGTCAAAAGGTACATCCAGGTTCGGTGTCGTCGGGGAGGGGAGGATACTCGGGCCTCCTCAGCGAGGCGAATATCTCCGCTCGCTCTCTTGCCTTGACATCTGTCGGCAGAAGCACAAGCAACGACCCCACCATTTGAGCTGCGCCAGAATATCGACACGTGAGAATGGCGTGTGTCAACGCAGCATTGAGTTCGCGAGACAGCATCTCTCTTTGAACTCTTCTTCCATCGAGTTGATCCAGCCAGTCTTTTTCCTCGTCTGATTGCAAGGCTGCAGATAGAATCGACAGAGGCTGCGGTCTTGCGTATGGCTCGTGACCGTCGTTATCCCCGGGAGGAGTTCCTCGCGGCGCCACAGTAAGTGGTCTCTTTGCGAAAATCAGATCTGCTGATCGATAAGTCCAACATTTACTGGAGGTAACAGAGAGTGGAGATCTCCTTACCCGACGAAGTATCCATTCTAGCCCTCGCTTAGCTTGCAGATCTGGCAGCCTTGGAGGTTGTCGGTCCGGGCAACGGTCGAACCGTCGTGTGGAAGAGGGTTGGAGAGGATGCTTGATCTGTATGTCCAGGCAGGAGGACTCGTGGCGACCAGTTATAGAAGGAACGAGCTTGGATGGCGAAGAGCCTCATCTCTAGGGGGAGAGAAACAAGAACCCCCCGGGGGCGACAGAGGTTTTCTATCATCATGTCAAGCCCATTGCTCATGTCTCACATCCCAATTAGTGGCAGCAGCCCGCCCTTTCTGGTTCTCAAGGACCATGGGCGTTGTGGATGACATGCAAGGTGTCTTGAATGACAGGTGGTCCTGCGAATGGTGAGGCAGATGGCTGAAATTGGAGCTTCCCGTATCTGCCGTGGGGGGGTCGGATTCTCCCGAGTATTTTCTGGCACGACAGTGGATCTGACACAGAAAACACATATCTGAACGCAATTGCCATCCCTGGACCCGAGATGGGAAGCAGCCACAATCGGTGAACGGTGGTGTACTCGGTATAACAGGGGGATCACTGGGACTTAATCCGTGGGCCGTCGATTCTTGGATGATATTGGCTGCGTGATTGAGGTGGAACCCTGTCACTTGCAAAGTAACTTCCGAAGTTTTCCTCTTCTGCGGTCCACCAATGGCCTTGGCGGGGAAGCGAAGCCCCTTGTAAAGCAAGGAGGACTTTGACAGAGAAAACAGGACCTTGATGGAGAAGTTGCGACAGACAGCAAGACAGGCGGAGAACAGGCCCTAGTCGACAAGCGGTGACCACACTCCCCCCGCTTTCGCTTTCCATCCACACCTACCCATTGACGCGTCCAGTAACTACTTAGTCGTAGGAAATGCTGGAACGCGTTCCGATTT